ACTGCTAACAGAGTTCTGAATGTTTCTGGTTTGCATGTGGGTGCATAGTTTCGAAAAAGTCTAAGCCTTCGACTTGTGCGAAACCTTTCGCCACGTATCTAGCTTTGTACTTGTCTACTTCTCCATTTGCACCGTATTTAACTTGTATACCCATTTTCCAGGTAATACGTTCTTGTCTTTCGGTCTCTCAACAAATGTCCAAGTGTTATTGTTTTCTAGTGACTCGACTTCTGCTTGCATTGCTTGTTTCCAGTACTTGGCTTTGGTTGATTTTACAGCTTCTTCATAGGTTTTGGTTCGGTGACAGTGTCTTCTTCTTGTGTCGCATTAAAGGTGTATGGATGACCATATCTTTCAGGAGGTCTTCTGTTTCTATCTTCTCTGCGTAGTGATTCTTCTACTTCAGCATCTTCATTTTGCTGTTGCTTGGTGCATTTGGAACTTCATTTTCGGTATCACTTCATCCAATTTCCACTTCATCTCCGACGGGGTTTTCGTTGTTTTGATCATTAGAAAGTTTGTCCGCAAGATCTAGGATTGGATTCTCTAGAATTGTGTCTCCTTGATAGGATTCTTCTACAGATGATAATGGTTGGATTTCGTCCTCTTTGAAGATAACATTTCGTGCTTTGATTATTTTCTTTGTTGCGAGCTCTTGTAGTGTAGGCTGTGCTGTTGCTGTCGTAGCCAATAAACTTTGCTTTCACTGATCTGGAATCGAGCTTTCGTATGTTCACTTTTCTTTTCTTTACATAGGCTGTGCAACCAAATACTCTAAGGTGATTTCTTCTAGCCGTTTTCCCTGTGAATAATTCGAAAGGACTTTTTCCTTCGTTGCTGTTTGCACTCACAGTAAGGTTTCGGATGTGTGTAGCAGTGTCCAACGCTCTTACCCAATATTTCTTAGGTAGTTTTGCTTGTATAAGTAAGCACCGTCCATTTCTACTATGGTACGATTGAAGCGCTCTGCGACTCCATTTTGCTGCGGTGTTTCCGGAACTGTAAATTCTTGTTTTATCTTTGAGTTCCTGCAGAACTTCTTGAATTTACGTGAAGTGTACTCAGCTCCATTATCTGTGCGTAATGTCCTTGGCGTTCCGTTTTCTGCAACATATTCCAGAACTTGTCAAGAACTTGTGACTTGTGACTCATGTACTTAACGACTGCGTACTTCGTGTATTCGTCGATGAATGTAACTGCGTATTTTGATCCACTTAACTAGCTACTTCGAAAGGACCGAGGATGTCTGAGTAGACAAGTTGGAGAGCTTTCTTCGCTTTGTGTTCAACTTTCTTTGAAACGGGTTGGCTCGCTTGTTTTCCCATTGCACACGTTTCACATGGATCCTTCATCTCACCTTGACAACTAACGGTACGCTTTACATCGGTCTTGTTCAGATGTCCAAGACGTTTGTGCCATAGGTTGATATCTCCTTTGATGCTCTGTTTGGTTTCGTTGCAGGCAAATGGGTTGACTACATTCTTGTACGTGACTTTCAAAAAGAATAGACCAGAGTTCTTAATGAAATTGATTTCACGACCATCATTCATTACCATTCTTGCTTTGGTGTCGTTAAAGATGAATCTGTGCCCGAAATTGACTGCTTTGTTAACTGATAGTAGGTTGACTTTATAATTTGGCACGTATAGCACATTTCGTAGGATTATTTCTGCCATTTTTCCATTCTTTAGCTCGACTGTTATTGGAACATCGCCAATTCCTTCAATTGCTGTGAGGTTTCCTTTAGGATCTCGAACACTCTTCTCATTTACTGTGCGTAGATTTATGAAAGCGTCCTTTTGATACACAATGTGATCTGAACAACCAGTGTCCACTACTAAATGCTTTTCTGGGTTGTTTTTCTCTTGTATAGGACTAACGAAACACTCTGAATAAGATGAAATCGCGTTATCATCCTTCTTCTTAGATTTGTCGATCTTCTCGTTATTTCTACACGCTTTTGCTAAGTGACCTCGCTTGTTGCATTTGGAGCAAGTTGCCGTGCTTCTTTTGTTACACTGTTTTGCGAAATGTCCAGGGTTTCCACAGACATAACAAACTTTGGATTGCATAGGTGTTCTCTTATTTTGACCACGCTGATCTCTGCTTCCACCTCCAGTATGCAATGCCAATGACGAATCGTTTTCCGGTTGTCTTCTTTGCAAACGACTGTCCTCGTAATTCTGTAAACGGGTTCTCAATTCGGTAAATGTCGCTGCTGGATTAAAACTTTCTTGCACAACAAAATGTTCGTATTTCTCAGGCAAGCCATTAATAACTAACGCATTAAAAAGAGTTTCTGACATTTTCTCGCCAGCTTCTGCAAGTCTCGACATCAGCTCTTGCGATCGTATAAAATATTCGTGAAGTTTTTCCTCTTCACCGAGTTGTAAACGTGATAGTTGTCTCACTAGACTTACCACTGTAGGCTTTTCTACATTCGAATAACGTTGCTGTAGTAATCGCCATGCTTTCGCTCCGTCGCCAGTGCCATCTTGAGATAAACAATCGTGTCGAATATACATCAGGCTTGTTTTGTCTAATGCTAACGCGAGATAGCACCAAACACTGTTGTTTCTCTCTTTAATGTTCTCGATTTCCTTGTCTCTTTCACTTACTTTGGTCTCTCTCTCTGCTCTTTGCTCAGCCGAAGCATCTTCAGGCAAAGGGGCGATTTCTTCTGGTATAATTTCTCTGCTAAACAACGATTTGTAGAGACCCTTCGTTTGCATATACGCCGTGAACTTGGTGCTCCAAGCTGGGTAATCCTCAGCTTCACCGCTAAAACATAGCCACTTGAACGAGTTACCATCCATTATTTACTGTCTTGGGCTTTCTTATAGCCTTTATTGAGCTATTCTGGGCATCTTGGGCAATCCTGGGCGCATAACCTGTTAACTTTAATGGTTTATTTCACTTAATATATACAAACATGTGTTCAAAACAAAGACGACATATTGTCAACGCTTCTCAAACGTTTTTCGGTCACGTGTCCGTAATTATCTATATCCCTCAATATCAATGTTTGTTCTAATATACTCTTATATATATACATATGTCAACAGTGAGCACCTAGCAAAATTCAACAACATTATCTGGAGAGACACGAGTGTATCGTGCATTGTGTAATTGACGTATCCGTAGGCAGTAAGTGCAGAACTAGCGAGATAGTTAATTATTTACAAACTGATCTAGTAAAGCTTGGCCAAAGTTGGTATCAATTGTTTTGTTATAATGTCGGCCAAAGGTAGTGGCGTTCGTCCACCCTCCAGCTTTAAGGATGTCCTTCAACGGAATGCCGGACTTCAACCCACAAGACGTCGTTGCCGAACGGTTACTATGAGCGGAGAATGTTTCCGTGTCCATCCCCGGGGTAGCTAACGTGTTCTTCACTCAGCGTCTGATGGTGGTATTACTAACCACCTTATGTGGTTTGTGGTAGCTTACAACTAACTGTTGGTCTTGGTGTAGATTTTGGGTGAGGGAGATGTACGCTCGGATGTGTGCGACTGGACATAATTAATAATATCAAGCTTAATATGAAGCTTTTCGAGAAGTTTGACACCTTTGTGCTGTAATTAGGGCTCATGGCTTGAGGGTTGGCTGTTGATTGAAAGTGTCTCAGAACAACGCCGACGTCCCAAACGTGTGTATAGCGAGGGAGTGAAGGTTTCAATTCAACTATGCCTTTGAGAAACCGTGTTACCAATGGGTAAATGGGTAAATGGGTAATGGGTAAATGGGTCCCCAAATGTGCGGTGGTTGTGCAGCGTCAAGATAGATGAAAGGGGAGATCGTGCTGTGTTTATGGCACTGTACCCAAGCCATTGATATTTGCACTAAAAATATTTCTCTAGGAAAAGAAAAACAAAACAACTGGGGCGGTTGTGTAAAACTATTTAACTACACGTTGCATAGTTAAATCCTAGTTAACTCAGAAATACACGACTCTTACTTCTGCCCTTAACTACAGTTAGAAGTTAACTAGTCTTTTATACAACAGGCCCCTGGTGGTAAAACGCTACACCAGCTGGTGTAGAATGAATCGATTGGGAAATTCGGAAGACAATTGCTTTTTTGCTCAAAATTTTCCTCAACAACTCCCCCCCCCCCGCCCAATATAAAGGGGTCCCTCACGCTATTGGTTGTGTGACCTACCCAATCTAACATATCTATACTCATCAATATATATATATATATATATATATATATATATATATATATATATATATATATATACACCCATTTGCAAAAACGTTGGCCGCAGATAGATATATAGATAGATACTCGAAAGCTAATTAAAATTGCATATGTTGTGTAATATGATTGAAATCCCATGCAAATGTAATCATATGCTATTCTAATTAGACTTCGAGTATCTATCTATCTATCTATCTGCGGCCAACGTTTTTGCAAATGGGTGTAATAATATAATATATATATATATTATATATATATATATAATATATATATATATTATATATTTATTATATATATATATATATATATATATATATATGTAAGGTGTGTTTGTTCTTCTACACAAGTATGACCAACCGGGCAAGCAGAAAATTCTACTTGACCGCGGTGGGAATCGAACCCGCGACCTTCGCATTTCTAGAACGATGCTCTACCGTCTGAGCTACAAGGCCAAGTTGGGAACGACTGTTCCCAACACAGTCATCACAGTCGTTCCCAACTTGGCCTTGTAGCTCAGACGGTAGAGCATCGTTCTAGAAATGCGAAGGTCGCGGGTTCGATTCCCACCGCGGTCAAGTAGAATTTTCTGCTTGCCCGGTTGGTCATACTTGTGTAGAAGAACAAACACACCTTACATATATATATATCCACAAGTGAAACATGGCTCAATTAAGAGCAAAAAAGCACATATATATATATATATATATAGTTTTGGTTAACTGATTAATTTTAGTTTTGGTTCACTGAACCCATATATCGCGCGAGTTCCGTTGTCGCGGTTTGGCAGGGAGTTGATAGTGTTACCGATTGGCTACAAAATGCTGCGATGTCGTTTGTTTGTAAACTTCCCCATAACCTTAGATAGGATATTTTGCAAAACTTATTATACAATCTAACATATGTTTAAAATATTACCTCTTCTAACTGGTTACAGTTTCTTGTTTTCAACTTCTGAATTTTCTGACGATGTTTTACGGACCTTTTAAAGATAGTTGCAATTTTATAATGCCCAAGGTGGATGCTCCATTCAAGAAAATTCATTCTCCGACCTTTAACAATAATCGTTCGCTCTCTCCACATCGCGATATCCTTCTCATAAAGAAGATTGACCAAGGCGACGAAGTTGTTTCTAACAGCCATTTGGAGGATGACAATGCCAACAGAAAAGAAGTATTCACTTCTAACAGTTATATCAGCACCTTGTTCAACTAAATATTTGACTGTTACTAAATCACCAACACGAACAGCACAGTGCAGCACTGTCTCCCCGTTAGTATCATTGGCATTTACATCAGCACCGTTCTCGACAAGATATTCTACCATTTCAAGCAAACCTTTTCCAACAGCATTGTGCAGCACTGTCAATCCGCTATTCTTTTTTGCATTTACATCAGCGCCATTTCCCACAAGATATTTTACTATTTCTAGCGTACCTCTAGAAACAGCAAAGTGCAGCACTGTCTCCCCGTTAGTATCATTGGCATTTACATCAGCACCGTTCTCGACAAGATATTCTACCATTTCAAGCAAACCTTTTCCAACAGCATTGTGCAGCACTGTCAATCCGCTATTCTTTTTTGCATTTACATCAGCGCCATTTCCCACAAGATATTTTACTATTTTTAGCGTACCTCTAGAAACAGCAAAGTGCAGTACTGTCTCCCCGTGAGTATTCTCGGCATTTACATCAGCGCCCTTCTCAAAAAGACATTTCGCCATTTCTAGCGTACCATCAGAAACAGCATAGTGCAGCACTTTCGACCCGTCAGTATCCTTAGCATTTACATCAGCGCCCTGTTCAACAAGATATTTCACTATTTCTAGCGAATAATTTACAACAGCACTGTGCAACACTGTCTTCCCGTCAGTATCCTTGGCATTTAAATCAGCACCGTTCTCGACAAGATATTCTACCATTTCAAGCAAACCTTTTACAACAGCATTGTGCAGCACTGTGAACCCGCTATTGTTTTTTGCATTTACATCAGCGCCATTTCCCACAAGATATTCCACTATTTCTAGCGTACCTTCAGAAACAGAAGAGTGCAGCACGGTCTCTCCGTGAGTATTCTCGGCATTTACATCAGCGCCCCTCTCAACAAGATATTCTACCATTTCTAGCGATTCAATTACAACAGCACCGTGCAAGACTGTCCACCCATTATTATTTTTTACATTTACATCAGCACCATTTCTCACAAGATATTTCACTTTTTCTAGCGTACCTTTGAAAACAGCAGAGTACAGTACTGCCTCCCCGTAAGTATTTTTGGCATTTACATCAGCGCCCTTCTCAACAAGATATTCCACCATTTCTAGCGTACCTTTAGAAATACCAGAGTGTAGCACTGTCTCCCCGTGAGTATTCTTAGCATTTACATTAGCGCCCTTCTCAACAAGATATTCCACCATTTCTAGCGATCCATTTACAGCAGCAGCGTGCAACACTGTCCATCCGCTATTCTTTTTTACATTTTCTTCAGCACCACTTCCCACAAGATATTTCACCATTTCTAGCGAACCATTCACAACAGCACTGTGCAACACTGTCAATCCATTAATCCTTTTTACATTTACATCAGCGCCATTTCTCACAAGATATTTTACTATTTCAAGCCTACCTTTAGAAACAGCAGAGTGCAGCACTGTCACCCCGTAATAATTCCTGGCATTTACATCAGCGCTCTTCTCAACAAGATATTCCACCATTTCTTGCGTACCTTCAGAAATAGCAGAGTGCAGTGCTGTCTCCCCGTGAGTATTCCTGGCATTTACATCAGCGCCCTTCTCAACAAGATATTCCACCATTTCTAGCGATCCATTTTCAACAGCAGTGTGCAACACTGTCCATCCTTTATTCTTTTTTACATTTACATCAGCGCCATTTCTCACAAGATATTTTACTATTTCAAGCGTACCTTTAGAAACAGCAGAGTGCAGCACTGTCTCCCCGTAATAATTCTTGGCATTTACATCAGCGCCCTTCTCAACGAGATAGTAGACTATTTCTAGTCTATTTTTAGCCATAGCAGAGTGCAGCACTGTCTCCCCGTCAGTATTGAGACTATTTACATCAGCGCCCTTCTCAACAAGACATTTTACTATTTTTAAAGTATTTGGGGTATTATGCAGTGCACAGAGCAGAAGTGGCTGCCCTTCAATTTTCCTATTAGCATCAGCGCCGTGTTCAACTAGAAATTCTATTAGTTCTAGCGTGCCTTCGGAAATAGCATAGTACAGAACCGTCCTTCCGTCACTACTCTCGCAATTTACTTTACCGCCGTTTTGAACAAGACATTTTACCATTTCTAGCGTACCTTCAGTAACAGCAGCGTGCATCATTGTCCAATCGTAAATGGCAACCGTGGCATTCACATCAGCCCCCATTTCCACTAGATATTTTACAATTTCTAGCGTACCTTTAGAAATTGCAAAGTAAAGCACTGGCCACCCGCCATTGCTCTTGCCATTTACATCAGCGCCCTTTTGAACAAGATATTTTACCATTTCCAGCGTACCTTTTGTAACAGCATCCTGCAGCACAGTCAACCCATCGAACTTTTTGTCATTTACATCTGCCCCCAGTTTAACAAGATATTTAACCATATCCAATGAACTATAGGAAACAGCATAGTGCAGCACTGTCCAGCCGTCTGTAGTATCCTTGCCCCTTACAACAGCGCCATTTTCAACCAGATATTTTACAACTTCTGGAGTGGATTTTGTAATAGCAGCGTGCAGCACTGTCCACCCGTCAGTACCCTGGCCATTTACATCAGCGCCCTGTTCAACAAGATATTTCACCATTTCTAGCGTACCTTCAGAAATAGCAGAGTGCAGCACTGTCTCCCCGTGAGTATTCTTTGCATTTACATCAGCGCCCTTCTCAAGAAGATATTTTACCATCTCTAAGGTACCTTCGCTAACAGCCGAGTGCAGCATTGTCCCTCCGTCTGGATTCCTAGCATTCATGTCTGCACCACATTGTTTAATTAAGTACTTGACAATTTCTGTTCCACCAACATAAACAGCATGATGTAAGGCAGTATTTCCCGAGTCATCTTTACAATGTATATCAGCCCCAAAATCTTCAACGAAATATTTCACAATTTCTAATGATCGAGACTGTATTGCACCCTGAAGAACTCTGGAATCGTTTTGAAAATTATGTTCAGGGCCATATTGAACAAAATACTTAACAAGATCAAATAAACCATTTCTCGTAGCTATCAAGAAAACTGTTTCACCATCTTCGTTGTTGGAATAAATGTCTGCTCCATGGTCAACTAAATATTTAACAATTTTTTGATCTACTGGACTAAACTGAAAAGCACGCCAAAGAACTGTCTTCTTCCAACGATCTTCTTTGTTTTCACCACATTCAACTTCCTTTTTCATTTCTTCCCAAAATTTCTGTTTTCCTTCTTCGCAGACATTTATGCTTCCACTTGCCTCTTTCTTCTTCTCAATACCTATAAATATGCAACATTAATACCGAGTGGCGCAAAAAAAAGGTAACCCTGTTTGATTGAGTATAATTTCAAAATTAAAGGAACTATTGCACTAAAATTATTATTTTTATATTCTCTAATGTCTTACTTAAATTTTGATATATAGCATGAGGCTTTCCATTCAATTTTGACCGAAATATCGCGGTTTCAATTTAAGTATGCATTTTCTCAAAGTGTAAAAATTAGCTAAAAATGGCATATTAAAGTGAGTTAACAAATCCTAGTATTCTAAGGCCCGTATTCTGTCTGTTTTAATGAAATTTGACTAGAAACATTTGACAGATGGCTTAAGTTTTTTATTTTCTGTGTAATGACATGTTGGAAAGCGTTAAAACAAAAATTATCTATTTTGGTTTGGACTTTGTTCCAAATGTTTCATGTTGCATGGGGGATAAAATTTGTTCGGTAGCCCGCTAATTTAACAAACAATTTTGCATGAATTCTGCTTGTTCTTTTCTTAATATGCCTTGTTTAACCATAGCTACAACAGCGTGTTGGAGTTTTCACAGAACATGCCAGGGTTAACAATGCTCAAGAAGTCATAATCAGGAAAAACGTTGAAAACGAACATTATGTTTTCTTATTTAATATGGCATTTTTGACTAATTTTTGTACGTTTCAAAAATACGTATTAAAAGTAAAACGCTGATATCTCGGGGAATATTGTATCAAAATACGCATGGTATATACCAAATTTTAAGTTAGATATTCACGAATCTAAAAAAAGTTATTTCAGTGTATCAGACGTTTTAGTTTTGAAGTTAAACTCAATCAAACAGGTTAACCTTTTTCTTGCGCCACCCGGTATGAACAATTACATGAACATGAAGGACGAAAAAAAACAAAAAGGGCATTGCCGAACGACATTTTATTGTGGGTGAGATCCCTGCAATAATTTATTGACTTTCTCGCCCCTATAGTTTCTGTGGTCAAAATACGCGCGCATAACATTACCAGAAATTTGTTCATGGTGATTTACATAATACTAGTTTGCATTTAAATTGCAACATTAATGATATTTTTAACTTTTACTATGAAATACATATAGCAAAAGTACAGCAGCTAAAATTGCCGTTGCACTGGATGTTGCCCACTGTTTACCGATCTCTGGATCAATAGACAGCCGCTTCGCAACGATTTGATTATCAAATTAGTCACCTTGGGTGTTTAATTCTACGTTCCGCCAACTGACTGTGTTCAAATGTGTATATACGCTTCGTATGATTGAACTGCCTTATGAGACTGATAATATTTTTTAAAGTGACTGCAGAAACAAGTACGATCGTACTATTGGACCAGGAACTGGTGAAGTATAAATTCAATCTTTCTCTCCAGGATGAAATTTCAAATATCTATGAACCTAGGCAATCTTGCGGTTATGTTAAAATTATCGCTTTTCTACATTTTTCATCTGCCTTCAATACAAAGACATTTAAAATATGCCGAGTTGCACATCTATGTCCTAATCTATGCGGCTGCAGCTGGCGAGAAGCTAGCGTTGCGTGCACCGTGCCACTGTCATTATAGTCGTTTTTTATGTATATTTATGCTGGGCAAACCCTAAACAAATAAATAAAAAATAAGAAATGCCCTAGAGAGAAACGCATTTAACGCAATGGTCCTATAGTCATGAATATATATTGTGTACAAAACAACGAAAATACACGACCTTCTAGCTTGAACTCATATAGGATATGAATATTAATAATATTAAAATTTGCCTCCCGCTACAGTCTGACATGGCTTGCAAATCTTCGGCAGAATACAAGCACAAACAATTTAACTCCGTAAGTCGATAGAGAATAACCTTTAAGATAGTTGTGTGAAGTTTTATCACGATCAGGTGCGAAATGACGGAGCCTTAGCCATTTGAACTTGCTTCGGTTACGAATACTAATATTGAATATAATCTATACGCATTACTACGCTACAATTTTGAGTTGCTTCTAAATTTCTTTAAAATAAAAAAATCAAAATTATAACTCCGTCAATCGATGGGGAATATCGCTAAGAATAGTTGTGCAAAGTTTTATTGCGATCTGATGCGAATTGACGGAGCCTAAGGCTTTTTTAAAGAGCGTCACCCCCTAACAACAACAACAACAACAACAACAACAACAACAACAACAACAACAACAAGATTAGCCGCGTGTGGGGACCAGTTCCTGGTCCAAAAATCCGGTCCGTACAAAAAAATTTATATCAGGAATACGGAAGACAAAATATCTCTAACAAAATCTCTTGATATATTTAATACACATCAATTCATCAACAATCCGAATCGAAATTTTCGTATGAATGTGAGCGATTTTATAAGCTCGTTGAGAGAACACGGCAAAATTTTGAGCAATATATCTCTATATTACTGCAGAAATGCCCAAGGTAAAAGATTCGGTTACCACACAATAAGGTACGCGGACGCGAATGGGGGTTGAAGTGCATGGAGCGAAAACTACAGAAACGTCCTGTAGTCCTGTAAAGTCTAATTTCCACTCCGGAAAACGAGCAGCGGATCGGATCTAATCAGATTTTTTTCCGAGCTTGGTCCGATCCATGGAGTGATTTCGGATCGGATGAAAAAAAGTTAAAACTATTTGAACTTTTTTTTATCCGGTCTCGGACGCTTTCGGATCAATATAAGCCAAAAATTTCAACAGACGGCGCACGCGCGGATTATCTTTCGTTCCGATCCGATCCGCTGCTCGTTTTCCGGAGTGGAAATTAGCCTTAAGAGATGCGTCAGGGAAATGCATCAATGATTGGTAAAGCATCCTTTTTTGTTATTATAAATATAGGCTAAAATCTTTGTTGTAAGATAGTTGTGTATTAGAGCGTGAATTAATGTTGTAAAGTGTTGTATTCGTGAATAAAGGTAAGATTATAAAAAGTCCCAGATTTTAACAACGTAGCTGAAAATCAGACTTGTTTGGAGATTTTCAACAGGGGGTGTACATTCATATATAATTATTCGTCTTAAGCCCGACTGATCTTACTACAGTATGTATAGCTAAAACATGAATATAAACATATATAAACATGAATGTATGAATATGCACACCCTTTCCAAATTAAGCGGTCCAGCTACGGCCTTGATCAAAATGCTCCTGTTAGTAGTGGGTAGGCTTTTTACTTCTATCAGGCATAGGACGATAGTTGTCAATCTTACCATCATGTTTTTCGTTTTGAATGCCTTTTCCTTGGAATTCCTCTTGAACTTCTTTCTGTTTATTAGCAACAGACTGGGATTGTTCATTTTCGGACGAGACGATATTGTTCATGTTCTCTGCAAAGCCTGAGGTTACGTCGCTGTTCTCAATCTGGGACATCATAACATTGTCATCTTCCTTGGATTCGGTCATTCTTAAATTACCTCTTTACAATTCCCTTTACTGCTTATAACGATATAATTATCATATCATCTGAGCGGATAGCCATCTTCGAGAAAAACTATTCATGCAGACATCGGGCCAAAATAGCGCGCTGGGAACCTGAAAAAAAGCTATTATTAATTACTCTTAGCTCCAAATCTTTAATTATATTGCGCTTCAAGCATGTTTTCAAACTAAGTAAAATAGCTTGTACACCACGTAAGTATTTAATACTGCAAAGCTAGTCCAGAAATCTGTTTGTACTCAGTCTTCGACTACATTGTTTACGTGTGCTGTCAGCTTCTACTGTCTGTACTAATTACGGTATTATACAGGGTGTCTCAAAAAAACGAAAACTATTGAAATCACTTATTGTTAAAATTTGAATGCCGTGTTAACGAATTTCAGCCCGTGGGGATTTAATGCAACTTATAAAATGCTAAATACAAAAAAATTGAAATTGTGATTATGATTAAATTTGAATTAGCCTTGTTATTGCTTTAAAAGAAAATGGTACAGGTGACCGCAGAACAACCGCACTCATCTATACGGACGCTCGTTTCTAGTTTGACTGTCCCAACGTCGAGCTCGTTTTTGTTAGTCTATACCAGTGAACTGTGTAATAAATAACCGGAACGCTACCTTATGATTGTTTTCATAAAGCCAAAATTTGCAGGACTTGTGTGTCTGGAGGTAAAATCCCGCAAATATTTGGTTTCATTGGACATATCAAGGGTTCATTTTAAATTCAATCAGGTGAACTGTTTTACGAATTACAGCTGGAGTTGCGGATCCGATTGGAAACAAATTCTCTTAAACGGAACAAGTTTATAGCAATATGCAATTTTGGCAACAATATTTGTACGAAACGAATATCCTAAAAGCTAAAATTTCATCACAAAATATACTTGATGGACATCTTGTTTAATATTATAAGTTTATGTTTATTTAATTCCAAGTGACTAGATGACAAGTTGAGTTTATTATAGATAAAACAAATATTCCTGCATTGTCACGCTAGGCTCTACAATTTCCACTCTACACTATACTTTCCTAAAAAAGAAGACTCCGCGTCTCCAAAAATAAATCCATAAAATGCATTCTACTCACATCAAGAATGTCTCAGTCGGCAGGAAGTACTAAGAAAATCAGTTATTCATCTCCAAAAAATTTCTCTTTGGAGTTTTTATCAGATTTATCGTCGTGTTTGTTTTTGCGTGTAAAGACTGGGGGTGACTTAGTTTCAACTTCTGGTCAGATTGAGAAGGTAGCGTTCCAGTTATTTTCATTTTACTGGTCTATACCTGTAGTATTTATACTAAATCGTCAGAACATTGTTATCAGAATCGTCTGTCGAGTTCGTTTTGTTATCCAGGCACTCGTCTACTTAGTAGTTTCGTTTGGATTATCGTTGGTATTCAAATTCTGTTCAAACGATAACCGCTTATCATTCACTTTATCGTATTTTTAATTTTGATCGGTTAATTCACCTGCAGTTAACTGCATGTAAATAATACGCTGAGCATGCACATTTGTTGAAAACGTTGCTCCACTGCAAATAATACTCTGAGCATGCGCATTGATGTTATTTTTTTAAACAATAATGGCGACTCACTTTACTGAACTTTCTGAAAATGAATTGTGATACTTACTCGAAGAAAAAACGCGGAAAATACCAAAAAATAATAAGATTTATAAAATGAATAAAGTGAATTATAAAACAATTATTGAACTCGGTTCTCGCAAAACATCGTGATTTTTCCTGTAGTGTAGTAGCTTGAACAAGGTTGTTTTCTATTGGTCAGAGCACTAACTGGGTATCAAAGGTAGCAAGCCAATTCCACGTATTACATGGATTCTATTATTAACTTTGAAATTATTGATTAAAACTTTCGGTTTCTTTTCGTCTTGCAATTATTGCTTTTACGTGGTCGTTGAAACACTTAGTGAAATTACAAAACAAAATGAATCTAGTTCGAGAAGATTAGTGATTGGTGGTTAGGAGTAATAAAATATGCTAAATACTTTTATTTATATCTTCAAGTAACACCTGGTAGATCCATGCACACAAGCTGTTTTAAAGAATCTACCTATACACCCGCCTTAAAATCACTTTAAACAAGGTATTTTTTATGTCAGAAGCTATGCTGGCGATAGTGTCAACAAAAAGCTTGGGGTGGAGGTCTTGTGATTTGGTTATTTTTTATTTATGGCTGATTTACAGTATATTAGAATATGAAAATTTTGGATTAGACATTGCTGAATAAACATTCAGACTAATCCAAAATGGATTGTATGTATTAATTATTATAATATAAGTATGATATAACGAGCAATTTGATTGGCTACGGCGCGTGCATTGTGAGGCCATAATGCACGCTTCTGGCTTTTGAAGTTTTTGTTGCTAAGCAACATCTTAAATAACATGTAAGGAGAATTTCATTATTGATCAAATAAATAAATTTTGTTGTTGCCCTATAATTTCTTCTTATATTATAAAAGAATTAAAAAAGCTCGTCGCGTGCCTTTATGCTGTAATAATGCACTCGGGGAAATGTTGGAAGAATACTCGAGAAGCTTCTCTCGTATTCTCCCAACATTCCCCCATCGTGCATTATTACACCATAAAGGCACGCGACTCGTTTTTTAATTCTTAATTAATGTATGTATGTATGTATTAAATATTAATCATATAATAATGTCACGTAGTAACAATAAGTTCTGGTTGAGGTTGTATATCACTTTGATTGCAAAGATATAACATATATATATATATATATATATATATATATATATATATATATATATATATATATATATATATATATATATATATTATATATATATATATATATATTATAATATATATATCAAATATGTATTTAGAATCATATATGAGTAGAGTGCTCGATATACCAAAGTATAGAGCTAGTATAAAGATAAAATAAAATAAACTTGGTTTACTTCATAAGATTTTATTCACTACAAACTTGTTTCGTATGACAAGCAACGCTTGCCACACTCATCAGGTGAATTTAAATGTCGCGCTATGTTGTTGCCAAGGTTATATATACTATATACATGTTTGACGTAAAACGGAAAGCTATAGTGTTAAATTACATATAAATATATACAGATTATATCAAGTAATATTGCTTAAGAGAAATTTGTTTCTATGCCTGCATTTCGATAACAGTTCATTTCTTGAGTTTAAAGAACAAAGTTCAGGGTGGTAAATTATGATAAATTTTTCATGTGTACAAAGGCTGCAGCGTTTTGTTGTGTTGTTATAGCTCTTGCATTGTTTAATAATACGCCAGTCTAATGAGTCTATAGAGTACTTAACCTTTCAGTACTATATTGAGTACTTATAGAGTACTCTATAGACTGGCGTATTATTAAACAATGCAAGAGCTATAACAACACAACAAAACGCTGCAGCCTTTGTACACATGAAAAATTTATCATAATTTACCACCCTGAACTTTGTTCTTTAAACTCAAGAAATGAACTGTTATCGAAATGCAGGCATAGAAACAAATTTCTCTTAAGCAATATTACTTGATATAATCTGTATATATTTATATGTAATTTAACACTATAGCTTTCCGTTTTACGTCAAACATGTATATAGTATATATAACCTTGGCAACAACATAGCGCGACATTTAAATTCACCTGATGAGTGTGGCAAGCGTTGCTTGTCATACGAAACAAGTTTGTAGTGAATAAAATCTTATGAAGTAAACCAAGTTTATTTTATTTTATCTTTATATATATATATATATATTGTTACGTTCGCCGGTGAGAACGAACAAAAAAATGAGAGCAGTGTTGAGCATTTTAAAACATTTAGTGAATTATAGTGAGCAATAAGCAATTTAAACTTTACAAAGAACATTAACAATATCCTATTTCTTAACATTAACTTATCTGGTAAGAGTAACAGTGAATAGCTCCATAGTTGAAAATCCATCATAAATCCATCTATGTTATATTGTTCATTTGGTCAGCCGTCAGCTTAAATTAGCATCGTCAGTTATGGCATCTTGTAATGGCTGTAATCGCTTTCTTATATCTATTTGCGCTCGGACTTATATACGCTTGCTAAGAGAAACTGCAAAACAACAAGTAATTTCCCCTACGCAATTCAGAGCGTTGTAGCGCATGCTACCATGACTTTGTGATTGACACCAAGTTACGGACTTGCGGTTAGGCGTGGACATAGCTATTGCCTGCTCATGCTTATACCTATTTTGCTTACTCATGCATGTAAGTCTTACGAGAATAAGGTTAATTAACTAAAAGGTATACATATATATTTATACTAGCTAAGTATATGAAGCTATATTATTATACGATCTAATTACATGATATTATGTATCATGTAACAATATATATATATATATATATATATATATATATATATATATATATATATATATATATAAATATATATATATATATATATATATATATATATATATATATTGATCTCTGCATGTTCAATGAAGCGAATTCAAGTTCTTTACTAAGGAGGAGGAAATATTTTAATTCTAAAAATTTTTCAACCCCACTTTTGATGTACTGAGAAAAAAGTTTACACCACTGCTAGGCATTGAAAAATAATCACCCTTTGTTTCTAACAAGCATTATAACATTTGTATAAGCTTTGAATGCTAATTGCATGTGGAATGTGAATTGCATCTCCCTGCAGATCAATGATGTTAAAACATAAGCACTTTCATATAGTAGAACTGAATAATTACAATAACTGTTTATAACGGAAATGAGAAAACTGTACAATTTTGGGAGCACAACTTAAAGATGTGCAAAAGGGAGAAATTTAAATATCATGTTAACAAGTTAGTACACACCTTATCACCTTTTGCTACCCTTGATACCTTTGCTACCTTCGATACCTTCAAAACCTTTGCTACCTTCGATACATTCGATACCTTTGCTACCTTTGCTACCTTCGATACCTTCGA